CACTATTGAGTATTGAGTAATAAAAGGATTGGAAGGAAGAGAAGTACCTTACTCAACATGTAAAAGATACCATAACGTGGTATACTGATGCTTCTGAAACCAAAGTAGGAACAGGGATACGAGTATTTATAGGCCGAAAACTACCAGACCAATGCATACCTACAGTATCCTTCAGACAAAGAGTTTACGCTATCGACACAATTTATCTTAGATAGTAACTATCGAAATCAGGAAATTGCCATCCTAACCGATAGTCAAACGGCACTTAGCGCGATCAACTCAGTAACCATCAATTCCAGGTTGGTCAAAGAATGCCAGAAGCTCAACAAATGGAAGCGAAGGCGAAATACGGCGGGCATCTCAGTGGGCTGAAGCTGAAACAACGGCGAATGCAAGTTCTGTGGGAAAAATGGGGAACACTAGAACACCTTATTACTTAGTGCGCCGAGACGGCGAGCATTCGTGCCATGAACTTTGGTACGGCTGATGTCGAGGATGGAGAGCTAGCCTCAGTGGAGCCGTCTCAGATATTTGCTTTTGTCAAAGCCTTGTATGATGAGTTATGGATTGTATGATGAGTTACAACTCTTTATAACTCAAGAAAGGAACTACCTAATGGGAATCTGTAGGTCGCGGTGATTAATTCATTCTACATTCTACAAATGGATCAAATATTGTCTCCCCAGATGTTTTTTTTGGAAAAGTTGCTTATTAGGTTTTGAAGAGGCGTTAAAGTTGTACTTTTGACTAGAACTTCGTTTCATTTGGAATGGTCATTTAAAAGTTATTTACAAAAATCTACCTTCAAATTAGTAAATTTGATAATACGGCCCAGAGAAGGCTACAATTAAAATACCAGTAAAAATGTGATTGAGTCATTGTCAAAGTCGATGTCACATTTTGTTTACAAAAATTTGAAGGTACCAAACAAAGTAATTTGGTATAAAATAATTATGAATTTTACAACTTCTGAAAAACTTACGATGCCGATGGTTAAACAGCATTTTGCTGGAAATAGTATTCCCGCTGTGGTAGATATATTCGCAGCTCAATCATCGGTAAGCCTATACTGAATAAGGCAACAGTTTTAAAGAATAGACCAGAGAATTGAAACTAAAGGCACTAAGGTATTAAGCACGTGGAAGTGTGAAGACAAAAATAATTGAACAGGAAGAAAACAACAATGACTTGAATATTCTTCATCTTGAAGAAAAGAAAAACATTGGCTCCCCTTTATTGGGGATAGAGTAGGAAAAGGTCACAAGATTATGTAAACATTCTATTAATTAGTATACTTTAATAAAGTTCCTTCAGTTACAAATATTTCTTTTATCTGTTAAATTATTGTGGATATATGTGAATGTGGTAACAGCGAGGCCTGCGAGTGATCGAGTAATGAACAGCAAACAAGTCATACACCGCGAATACTAGTCTCAGTTCAACTAATTCTTTATTAAATGATCATTCCAATTCGGAAGAAAATTAACCACCCTTTTCAAACCAGAAAAATTCTTGTAAACAAAAAAAAATGTGACATCGAATTTGACAATGATATAAGATATAATCATATTTTTGCTGGTATTTTAATTGTAGCTTTCTCTGGGCCGTATTATAAAATTTACTAATTTGAAGATAGATTTTTGCTAATAACTTTTAGATGCATATTCCAAATAAAACGATTCTAGAATTCTAGATAACAGTACAACTTTAACGCCTCTTCAAAAAAGTCTAATACAATTTTTGCATAAAATCATCTAGGGAAATAATATTTGACCTTTTCAAAATTTACATTGGATTTCCTATGTCCCGCGTAGGGAATGCAATCCCGCAAATGCTGGATCCCTCTGAGATTCCGCGGCATCAAAGTTGCGGGATTTACCGTACGGGTTCCGCGGGATCGACACATTACTAATTACTCCTGGGTAATCGAATCGATCTCGATCAAGGTCAAACCGCTTCGTTCCGGGTCGATTCGTCGACGCCGACGCTCGGAACCCGGGGGATTCCCCTTACGGCTTGGCCATTAAAAATAAGTGAAACAAACAGGTTAGTTGTTAGATTTCTTTCTGGCGTAGGTATGTGTGTAAGTGAAGAAAAGCGTTTACCTAGTACTTGTGGACAATTTCGTCAAATAAACTGCCGGACATAATTATCGGGACAAGCAAAAATTTTGGGTAAATTTAAAGTTGAATATCTCTTGAACTAAAAAAGATTTTGTAATGCGGTTTAGACCAGGTTTTAGATATCTATTGTGATTAAGATGCTATGTGGTTTTCGAAAATATATTTAGCGAATTCTCGTATACAGGGTGTTTTATAAGAGTGTGAAAATTCGGTCGTGAATTTTTTTTCCCGCAAATTTACAATTTTTAAAAAATCGAAATTTTTACCAAGTACGACTAATTTGTATCGAAATTAGAAAAAACAGTTTGATCGGTTTTTATTTTTTTTTTGTTTTAAGGAAAATACGACGTTTTTTCGAAAACTATGCATTTTTAATCATATATGTATGGTCCTAAATGGTACAAAAAGCTTTGTACATTCTGCATAAAAGCAGATAACTAACACAAGTTAAAAAAACTTCAACATCAGAATAATATTTTTATTTATAAAATAAGTAGATAAATTATAATAAAATTTAAGTTTATTTAATATTAAATATATTTTTTGAACACCCTGTATACATCGGTCCAAATTTCTGTACAGCTAGTTTAAGATACACGCTATATCAATATATTGTGGGCCTATGCAAAATGTACAATGCCTTTCGTACCATTTAGGACCAAATGTATGACTATTGTTTATAGTCCCGCAATTTTGCGGATCCGCGGGATTGATTGCTTTAATACCGCGGGATTGAGATTTTGGTGCGGGATTGCGTTCCCTAGTCCCGCGTTCCGATGCACCACACGGTATACGTTGGCAGTGAATTTTGTATCAAAAATAATGCCTGTATAATTAGTTCTCCACTTTTTTCCATATTTACATTTTTATTTTTATGTATCATCGTATATCTATTTAATGAACTGTAAAATGGTATCAATATATCTATTTGATCTTCTTTTCTGACTCAGAGAATATATTACTTTCATAAATATGTTGATCAGTTATATACACAGTAAAATATGCTCGTACGGGTCGTTCTGACTGTTGATTTTTTTTCTGCATCCCACAATCACGCGGCATTTAATTACAGATATAATACGCGATGTGAATTATGCACGAGAGGTTCGGCCGTACCATAGAGTATTATTTACCGTTAAGCAATGTAGGTTTGTGTGTGGTTACTTACGGTATGCGAACGAGATTTTTTCAAGGGTACCAATCAAGCTTTGATGAATATGATTCTTATTTTATCTTTGTTTTTTATTAATTCAGGGAAAACGTACAGCAACGAAGTTCACCTACATTCAATGGCGGTTCCTCTATATAAGATTGTATAAGTCGTTTATAAAAGTTATCCAGTTAGTGGAGTGTTCGCTCCTTTTCTAGCTAGATCATTTGCTTTTTCATTGCCTTCTATCCCTTGGTGAGCACGCACCCAGATTAGGAGGACATTATTTTATTTGCCTAACTTATTGAGCTTCTCTAGACATTCTTTGACAAACTTCGAATTGATGGTTACTGAGTTGATCGTGTTTAGTGCTGCTTGACTATCGGATAGGATGGCAATTTCCTGTTTTCGATAGTTCCTATCTAAGATAAATTGTACACATCTTTCGAGAGCGTAAATATCTACCTAAAGGATACTGGGGTAGGTGCGCATTGGTTCGGAGTATTTAGTTTTCGGCCTAAATACTCCTATCCCTGTTTTGCTTTGGTTTTGGAAAAAAAAGCTTTGATTTTGGAAGCATCAGTATACCACGTTATGGTATGGTCTTTTACATGCTGAGTAAGCGTTTCTTCCTTCCAATCCTTTTTATTACTCAATACTACAGTGAGGTGTTTCTCAAAGTTGTAAATTCTTATTATATCATCCACTGGGAGTTGGAGAAGTGGAATTTTCTTTTTAAGGGTGTTCCAAGCCCCTAACCTGAAAGTTCTCCCAGTCTTTTCTAAAAAGACTTAAATCTTTTTTCTATTTCGGAATAAAGATTTAATTCGGAAATCGTTTTCAAGAAGACTTATATTTTAAATCTTAAGTCAGCTATCGAAAATTACTTAAAATCAAATGACTTAAGTTATTAAAATAATTTAAATAAAAAAAGGACTTAAGTTTTCTATGAGCTTGCAGCTCTGAAAGACTCTAATCTTTTTAATGACGATATCTTTTCCAAAAAGACAAAAATCTTTTACAATATTTAAGCCTTTGTTAATGGCTTAATTCTTTCTCTATTTCGGAATAAAGATTTAAATCACAAATCATTTTGAAAATTACTAAAAAACATAATTTACTGATAATATGGCAACATATAAATCCAGAAAAGACCCAGTGCTTCTCAAAATATTAGCAAAAATCATTTTTTTTGGAAAATTTCAAAGTAAAATATATACTCGGTTATTTTGGACTTATTTGAAAAACGGTAAAAATTAAAAAAAATATTTTGACCAGATATACCACCCCTTAAAATACTTGGACTTATTTCTGGGACACCCTGTATATAACGTTGTTAAAAGTCGAACTGCAAGATAATGAGTTCTCGGTTAGAACTCTCCCTAGCAAAATGCCTTCAAAACCAATCCTACTAACACTAGCTTCCGAAGGCTTAAAAACTGATATCATGCTAAGCAGGAAAGCAAAAGGGAAAATTACAACCGATGAGCTTCATCTCAACTGTGAAGTTAGAAACATCTTCTTAAATGAGGACCTACCTAAAGAGGTGAGAATCCTCCATAACTATGCTAGAAGTCTAAAAGAACACAACTACAAACACATATGGATCAAAAATGGCCTTATTTTTTGTCGTAAATCGGATACATCAACAATAATTAAAATTAATACTATTGAACAAATAGAGCAACTTAAAAACAACTCCATTCTGGTAACTGACGACCAGAACCATGATTCTAACCATGATCTCTCCAATGAATAATAACCACATTGCTGTCAGGCAATTTGAATCAATTGATCTCCTCAATCGTTCCCTATCTAATAACAATAAAAGTATAAATATACTATATCTTAATGCGTGCTCCATAAAAAACAAACTAGACAAACTCCAAGCTTACATTTCACATATACAAATACAAACCCACATTATAATTGTCACAGAAACATGGGTTGAAAAGCATGAAGAAAACTTCTATAACTTACCAGGCTACAATGTAACATACTCATCCCGAACCAAAAAAGGTGGTGGCTGTGCAATATTTATAAAAAACAACTTAACTGGAAATATCCTAAAGAAAGTGGAAAGGAATAATATAACGTACCTGCTTGTATCCATCCAAGAACTAAAAACCTGCTTCTCTGCAATATACAATCCCTCTAAAAAGAGGAATGATGTGGAAGTTACTCTACATCTTCTTGAAGAAGAGCTTAGTAGGCAAAACAACCAAAATGTTTGGCTCCTAGGAGACCTAAATATAGACCTCCTCACAAACAACCTTAACAGCTCTCGAATAAGGGATATATGCACATCCAATGGGTTTTACATCTGCAATGAGACAGTAGCAACGAGGAAATCACACAACCTCATAGATCACATAATCACAAACATACCAAATCCCCAAGCAAAGCTGGGAATCATAAAAGCTGGAATAAGTGACCATGATTTGCAATACCTTAGCATAGAAAAGGAAGAAGACTTAAAATCCAGACAACTTACTTACAAAAAAAAGATAGTCGATCTGCAGAGAATAAAATGCGAGCTACTAAAGGTGGATGAAACATACAGCAACACAAATAGTGTAGACTTGAACTATGAACTAGTCACCCAGTGCTTTTTAAAAGGAACAAGCTACAGGGATATAACTATGAATGTGAAAAACAATAACAAACCATGGTTCAACCAGGATATTCAACAGGCTATCAGAGCTAATGACTACTACTATAAAAAATCACAACTATACCCAAACAATGGATACCTAAAACAAAAGTACCAGGACTCCAAAAAACACTTGAAAAATATAATACGGAATTCTAAAAATGAGTATTTTACAAGAAAATTTGATCAAGTTAAAGGTAATACAAGGAAGGAATGGCAAGTGCTGAATCAAATAATAACAAATACTGACAAGTCGGGAAAGAAAAATGTACCTTCTCTAAAAATACAAAATCAAACAATCACTGATGTCAAAAATATAAGTGAACAATTCAATAATTTCTTCAGCACAGTCGCTTCTTCCCTAGCATCAAAAATAAATAAATGTAAATTAAACACAGAGACTGAAACAGTGTGTAACAAATCATTTCAGCTACAGGATACAAACTTTCTAGAAGTTCTTAAAACAATTGAGAGCCTGGATCCGAAAAAAGCACCGGGTCACGATGACATCGATACAAAAACAGTAAAAGCATGCAGCTTTGAACTGAGCAGTATCCTGTGTAAGCTTTTGAATCAATCTTTCAACGGTGGTGAGGTTCCTGCGGGTATGAAATTGGCAAGAGTTTTACCATTGTTCAAGGGTGGCGATATCCAGAATCCCAACAACTATAGACCAGTCAGTGTTCTACCTATATTATCAAAAGTGATGGAGAAGATTGTTAACTCACAGCTGATTAAGTTTTTGAATAGTATTACTTTTTTTTACCCGGGTCAATATGGTTTTCGAGGGTCAAGCGATGCTATGTCAGCCACCACAGACCTAATATGTGATATTCAAAAAAATCTCAATAATAAACAAAAAGGTGCCATAGTTTCGCTTGACCTTCGGAAGGCATTTGACACTGTGGATCACGAAATTCTTCAATCTAAACTAAATAGTCTAGGTTTTGTAAACATTACTCAAAAATGGTTTAGAAATTTCATGGGTCCTAGAAAACAATATGTCTCTGTTAATGGTACCTCTAGCTCTGAAAAAAGTCTTTGTTGTGGCGTTGCCCAGGGATCAATCATAGCTCCAACACTATTTTTAATTTATATCAATTC